ATACAGTGTAATCTTGTTTATCTATTCTACAATTTTGAAATCCCAGTCTATCCCTTCCCACCCTCTACCCCCCTGGTAACCACAAGTCTGTATTCTCTGTCCATGAGTCTATTTCTGTCCTGTATTTATACTTTGTTTTGTTTGTTTGTTTGTTTGTTTGTTTTTGTTTTTGTTTTTTAGATTCCACATATGAGCGATCTCATATGGTATTTTTCTTTCTCTTTCTGGCTTACTTCACTTAGAATGACATTCTCTAGGAGCATCCATGTTGCTGCAAATGGCATTATGTTGTCAGTTCCTTTTTTTTTAATTTCACGATTTGAAATAGTTAATTTATAGTGCATAGCAGTTCATGTCCCATGTATTAATCTAAATCATTCAGCTTCCGTGACATCCCTCTTGGATCTCCTGCCTTTTACGTTTGGTTTGGAGAATGGCACTGCTCGTTCATAAGTTATCCCTAATTTTGTTAATTATTCGAATAGTCAAGTTAGAAGCTTATTTGCATCTTGCCATTTAACTTATTCCTTGGATATGATTGAAGGAATGACGTCTTCCCCAAGAACAGAGACGTGTCCTGGAAGCTCACATTCCCCTTGTTTGAGGGGTTCAGATCTTCCATTTGTGCCCAGGAGGGCGCCCAGCCTGCTGATCCCAGTTCCTGCCCGCCTCAGCTGTTCGCCCAAGTTCTGCCCGCAGCCCTCACACCGTGGGTGGGAATCCAGACGTGGGGAGTGCGAGGGGCATCGGGCCAGGACAAGTGGCAGAATGGAGATTACTTGTGAATGGTAATACTCTTTGCGGAAGAATTTTTTATTATTTTAATTTTTCTGTTAAACTGAGAGCCCGTTGTTTTTCTTTTCGCTTTACCCCATAGGCTAAATGTTTAGAAAGTGAGAAGAATGGCGTTCTCAACAAAATCTTCAAAGACAATATTCGCTTGGGAAGGTTGCAGGAAAGAGTCAAGGTAAGCAAGCGGTCGTAGCCTTAGAGATTCCACTGTCAAATGGGAACGGAGGCTTCCTGGGGTCAGATTTCCGTGTTTAAGGAAATACTTCATTTTGCTTGGGTGTAACCCTGCTCATCCTCAGAGTAGAGCAGCGTGGGTTTCTCGGGCAGAAATAGCACCTGTCCACTCATTAAATGATCTTTGGTTCACCCGCACAGTAAGGTGATGCACAGCTACTTTTTAAAGAAAAGACATGGAAAAATCTCCAGGCTGTATTGTTAAGTTGATGTTGAGCTTTGTGATCTAGCCCAGCGTTTGTTGGTTCGGTTAGAAACCGGCTCCTCTCCCGCGAATCCTGACTGCACCCTCGGTTTCTCTGCCTGAGAAGGCCGTTCTCATTGTACTGACCCTCCTACCCTTGGCCACCTCCCTCACCTGACCTCCGCTCTCCTCCCTGTCATTTGTGTTCCGACTGCCGGCCTCTGGGCGTGCATCTAAATACTCGCCAGCCGAGCTGATTTCCCTGGGGCAGTGGCTGGGGCGGGGCGGGAGAGGCCCTGTGAGGGGAGCGTCTGTGAGGGCACATGGCTCTGACCATGGGGAGTAAGATCTAGGACCTCTGCGCTCAAGTGCGTGTGTGTCTAGGACAGTGATTACAAGGACCTGTTAAGTAGAGAAATAGATTGGTGACATTTCATATATTGGAAAATTAGCAAACTAGGAAAAATGAAACATTGGCTGGCTGTATGTAAATACTTGTGGTATTGGGTGAACAGTATGCATATATATGTATGTAAACATATGCTGTAAGTTTGTTTTGTTTTAAGGAATGTACATTTTAGTCCTAAATTATTTATTTTTAAAAAGTTAAGCAAGGAGGGGAGGCTATAGCCCAATGGCAGAGCACATGCCTAGCATGCATGAGGTCCTGGGTTCAATCCCTAGTACCTCCATTAAAAACAAACAAAATAATTTCCTCCCCCCGACCAAAGATTTTTACAGGAAAAAGATTCAATTTAAAAAAGAAAAAAATTAAGCAAAATTTAAGATTGCTCAGACTCAAATATATGTCCTAATGTGAAGAACAGATTTTATCTTTCCTATGTTTCATAAATATTGCTTAAGTGACACAAATAGTAAGTTTTGGGGAGCCACATTGCCTTGTACGTTCGGATTTTCAAGTAGTACAGACAGAGATGCCAACTGAAGGTCTTTCTGGTTTCCAGTAGGGTCTGTACCACACGGCATCCTTAAGCTTCTCTGACCTGGATTCTGCGCTTCGTCCAGGGAAGGTCACCTCCCTCGAACTAAGTTCAGGGATGACTAGCACGCCCACCAGAGCATCACTGTTCCCATTTATAATGGCCTGGTGTTCTCAGGGACGCCCTCACCACCAGTGCAGAGAACTCCTTCCCTCTTTGGACCAGAGCGGCTCCACCCTTCCCAAATGTGGGCTCTTAGGCATGATGCTACTTGAAGAAAGGAATCTTTTGCTGAGAGGGAAAGTTCAAAATGTCTGTATTAGTTCCACATTCAGAACTCAGAGGAATCTATCCTGTGGCTTCCGGTGGTAGGGATGACTTAATTTAACTGGGTAATTTAACTTGGAATTGTATTGTCTTCTAAAATGTCATCATAAATTCTTAGCTGATATCTTAGTTTTCCAGGAATTTTATTTGTGTGATACAAATGCTGTGTCACAGAATGTTCACCAGCTGACACAGTTTTAAAATAAATGAGGTTATAGGAAATTTAATCTTTAATCTTAAAGTACACTTAGTTGTCATTATAATCTTTTTTTTTAATGGTAGTACTGGGGATTGAACCCAGGACCTCAAGCATGCTAAGCATGCCCTCTACCAGTGAGCTATACCCTCCCCCTTAGTTGTCACAATCTGAACACCAAAAGGGTAAAGAAAAAGAAATCTGTATCTACACATGTTGTTGTGGAATTGCATAACACGGAAGGCAAAGAGGAAATCTTAAAAGTGGCCAAAGGGTGAAAATGGGTTTTTTACTCCTTTTGTACCAAAAGGTCAAAAATTCAGAAGTTTGACGATACAGAGTGTTTGGCAATGACACGAAGCAGTGGGAACTTTTCTATGTGGCTACTGGGGCTGGAAATTGGTTCTAACCTTTAGTAAAGGAGAACATTGACACAGCTCACAACCCAGCCATTCCTCCCTCATCCTTTCCAGAGAAAGAAGCCCTCACACAGGAGCAACCAGAAATCGTGTAAAGAAATGACCCCATCAGCACTGTTCATAATTGTCCCAAATGAAATGACCCCATATCCGTCAGCAGTGGAACAGATAAATAAATTGTGATACAGTCATAAAGGAATACCTAATAGCAATGAAAATGAACAAACTATATTTACAATATTTAGCAAGCGCATCTCACAAACATAATATTGAGTGAAAGGAGCACAACATAAATGAGTACCTGTGATATGGCTGTATTTATATAAAGTTTAAAACAGGCAAAATTGGGGCATACACAGATTTTAAAACTGAGGAAAAAAAAGTAAGGAAAAGCATATAGCAAAAATGAGATTAATGATTATGTCTTAAGGGGTTGGGACTTCGGTGTTTCCAGGATGCTGATTATGTTCTGTCTATTGACTTAGATGAGAATTACATGGCATTTGCTTTATTATGAATTAAATTACTCATACTTGTTTTCTATGCTCTCCCCCAAATATCCACATCGTTTTATCAGTGAGGCTTACTTTGACTGTTCAAAATTGCTGTTCATTCATTCTTCCGTATTCCTGATTCTCATTTCCTTGCTTTGTTATTTCTTCCATAGAAAATGTCACCTTCTAACAGACTATGTAATTTATTTATTATGTTGATTGGTTATTGTCTCTTCCGACCAGATTGACAAGGGCAGGGACTTGTTTCTGTTTTTGTTCACTGGTGTATCCCAAGCACTGAGAATAGCACCTTCAGTTAATTCAATAACTGTTGGAGGAATTCAGTAATACGTTGTACAGTTTTTAAAATTTAACAAAATCAAAAGAAGTATATAAAATGATATCTCAGCTCTGCATCGGAAAGGCTAGAAGGAATACACTGCACTGTTATGATGAGAGTCTGCCTCGACGTATTATGTATGAGTAACAATGAGCAGTTACGGTTTGTTTGTTTTTCTTTCCTGGTTTTCCTGTTGGCTTTTATTTCCGAAAGAGAAGGCCTGATCTTCAGAGTGGTTGGCCTTGGGTCATGGGACTTTATCTCATTATTGTTCATCTGAATAAGAATAGTTTTTTTAAAAAGGCCCTCCCAGCCACCCAGAGAAGAAATCAGTGAGCCAGATCCAGGTCAGGCAGGGCAGAACCTCTGGGAGAGTGGAGAAAAGGGACCTGGGAAAGGTTCGAAGTGACACCTCGGGAAACCCCAGTAAAACATGACTCCAAAAAGCGAGTACGTCAGCTTGGAAGACAGGGCTGTGATGCGATCTGGGAGGAGCAGAGCTGCAGGCAGAAGTGTTTCAGAACCAGGCTGGATCCAGAGAGCTAGAGAAAGGACTGCAAGAGAGGTGGTGTGTAAAGCTTGGAAGTTGACCAGTCAGTCACTGCTCCTGCCCTCTCAGAACCTCATCTCATCCCGAAGGAACTGAGTGGCCTCCGTATAAAAATTATATAAGAAAAGGGGAGAAAAATAGAAGTGTAGTTTTGCTACACGTGATGAAAATGCATCAGAGATAATGTTGCCACAAGGAGATCAAAATTGAAACCTATACTCCAAAGTGAATTGATAGGCTCGTAGGTAGACAGACAAGTAAGGAGGTAGAGCAGTAGCCAAGTAGCTAATAAAACTTAATAATGCAGTAAAAGCTAGGAAGAAATACCAAAAAAGAAACACAGATGGCCAGAGGATGTGAGTGGAACCAACACATCTCAGGGAAGAAATAGAAACTAAATTACAAGGAGAAAGATATAAAAAAGCACGGTGAGGGACATAAAAGGTAGACATGAGGAAGGCAAGGACAAGGAGGCAGAAATATGTAAAAAGAATTAGGAGAAATTGATAGAGATCCAACATACCTAAAGAAGAAATCAAAACATCCTGCTCCAAACAAGCATTCTTAAAACTTCGTATTGATGAACTTTTCTGAAATAAGTGAAGAGTTGAATCTACATGGTGAAAGGGCACATTATGAAAAACTGACCCAGCATGGACCTAGAAAATTGACTCCAAGCCCTGTGACTTTGAGATAAAGTCTTGGACACACAGGCCAAAGATGAAGACATAAGAAAAAGCAAATCATGTTGGCATCACACTCCTCAGCGGCAGCACTGAATGCCAACAGTGGAACCCCCTCTACAAATATTCAAGGAAAGAGTATGAGCCAAGGATGTTTCCATCCAGCCAGGCTGCCCTTCTGACTGTTTTGACCACGTAAGAATTCTGGGAACATTTTTTCCATGAACCTTCCCTGAGGATCAGTCAACCTGAGTTCAGCTAAGAGATGACTGGGCAAATTTCAGAAAAGTACCGCTCATGAGCAAAGAATATATTTAACTGTGAACTAGAACTTTTTTTTAAAAAGCAGGGATAACGCTGATGGAATAAAATGTGTTTTCTGACAATGTAGAAATACTACAACTAAGGGAAAATGATAAGTGAAGGCTTGGGAAGGGAGGTGGAGAATGGAATAAACTTGCGGATTGCTTCATCTGTAATAACTAAGAGGTCCAAGGATATCGTTTAAAGATGGAAAGTCAAGTCAGAGCTCAAGCAGATTTAAGTGGGGGAAGAATGAAGAAAAGGTTATCATGAGCTAACACTGTGTTACTTTTGATAAGTGAAGGGACTAAGGACATGTAATATAAAGGCATAAAAATAAAAGTAACCACAAGAATCAAAAGAGATCCATCCCTAAGTAGCAAAATTACAACAGCAACAAAAACATAAAAACAAAGAAAATGGATTACATTACAGTCTTTAAAAATATCTGTAGATAAAACAATAAAACATAAAGCAACAAATCTGCCATATAAGTAAATGTAAATGAGCTTAATTCACCCATTAGAAGACAGTTTTAGATTACAAAACAAAACACTATTCCATGTCAGAACCAAGAGATAATCAGAAACAGTATTTCAGAAAGATTAAAAATAAAAGGATGAATGAAGATAATACAGATTTATGTGAACGAAAAGAAAGCAAAGTTGCAGTCTTTATATTTGGTAAGAGAGAATTCAGGCCAAAAGCACTAAATGAGACTAAAAAAAGAGGGAAAAAAAGAGAGAGGCCTTAATAATGCTAAAGATTACAATTAACAATATACGGTTGTTATGAATATGCACTAAATGATGCAACAGCAAATTTTATAACTACAGGAGATTCAAAGGGAAATGGAAACAGTGATAAGGGATAGCTCTTCTATATATATAGAAATATATATTCTCTGTGTGTATATATATAGAATAGTCAAAAATTGATCATAGACTGGCTACGAAAAAAAGTCTCAATAAACTCCTGAAGCAGAAATAAGGCAGACATTTGTTGACCAAAAAGATGAATACCAGAAATTAATAAACAAAATCAGAAAGCAAAAACTGTTCTTTCACCTGGAAATGTAAAAACTACACAGTAAACTAATTCCTGGGTCAGAGGGGATGTATAAATTGAATTTCATAATTTCTAAAGAGAGCTGAATCTGTGTGAACTGTAAGTCAGAATCCACGTGACAGCAGTTTCGGGAATGCTCAGTGGGAAGTTCACTAGCCTTAAATACTATCCAGTGAAAATGTGAGAAGGAAAGTAAATAAATCGGGCTTTTATCTTAATCATCTGTTTACCAGTAGAGTGTGACAGACCTTGCCAGGTCCTTTGGTTTTAATTTTATTGGTAGCGTGTGAAAAACTAGGCATGAAACAAGTTAGCAATTTGCTTTTATCATACTTGAAATTCTTTTCTTACTTTCCATATAACTTTTGTGATCCAGACTTGCCCTCCCAGGTCAGACCTAGGCAGGGCTTCCTCAGTTCGGTGGGCTGTGACAGCCCAAGGAGGGGGCAGGGAATGCGTTCACGAAGCCGTCCGCTTGGGCCACGGGCAGCATCCCCTCACTCAGAGTCCGTCCTTCTCCCCCAGGGGTACAAGAAGCAGGCGGCACTGAAACTGGATGACATGAGTCACCGTCTGACAGAGCAGGAGGAAGACTTTGCCAGCAAGACAGCTCAGTACCGGCAGGAGATGAGGCACCTCCATTGGATGCTGCAGGACAAGCAGGATGTCCTAGACAAGGCGCTGCAGCAGAAAAGGTCTGGCTGCCCCAGCCCCATGGAATGTTTGTTTTTCAAATGTTTGGTGGCATTTTCCAGTGAAACCCTCTGGACCTGTTTATTTGATTGCCTGTTTTTGTTTTTACATTTTAGTTTTATCTGATTTTACTATTGGTCTCGATTTTTATTTGTTCCTCATTTTTTAAAATTTTTTTAAAAGATTTCCCCTAGCAACTGACATATAACATCGTGTAAGTTTAAGGTGTACAGTGTGGTAATTTGATACGCTTACGTATTGTGAAATGATTACAGTAGGTTAGTTAACGTTATCCTTCACCTCATATAATTACTGTTTTGTTGCTGCTGCTGCTGCTGCTATGGTGAGAATATTTGAGACCTGCTCTCTTAGCAGCTTCCAAGTATACAGTACAATACTGTTCACTACAGCCCCCTATACTGTACATTGGATTTCAGGTCTTCCTTCTTTTTAATCCCTCCTTTAAAGGTTCCTGTTGTTTGAATATGGGACTTCCTAAATCAATCCAGTCTTCTCATTGTCCTTCCCTTTTTTCCTCCTCTTTTCCATCTCTTTGATATTTTTATTTTATTCCATTCTCTTGGGAAAGTTTATTGGCTTTTGATAGAATGTTTTATTTCTGCTCTAATTCTTTTTCATTTGAGAACTTTAAAATTTTGGATCCGTCCCTTTCTAGAAGATCACAGTCATGAGATCATAGGTGTATTGTGTGCTCTGTGGCTGTAAGGGTCTGTCAGTTACACTTTGTCCTTTAAACATGTGCTAGAGGAGGCCTTGCTAGTATATTGAAGACGCTCGGGAACATCACACATTTGCTGAAGGTAAACCTGGTGTTCCCGTCACGTTGTCTGTGTTTCACATTTAAGTTGGACTTTTCAGAGTGGCTGTGTTGTCTTTGACAGACTGGAACATGAACTGATGCTTGCAGAACAATCGTAATGACACTGGGCTGTGGTTTTATTCAGGTTATAGTAGCATCCACGTATTTGATACCAAGCAGAATGCAGATAGCGGTTTTATGTTTTCTCTCAGCCAGATGCTTCCTACTGCCAAGCAAAATGAAGTCTTATCCAACAGGTTTTCTGTAATCACAGAAGTTCTTACCACCACAAACGGTGATTTTGTGAATGTTGGGCCAATACCAAGTTTCTTGTCAGACAGGAGGTTTAGAATTGCATCAATAAAATGGAACTTTGATTTGTACTTTCTCTCATATTCCATGTTGGGTTTTTTTGCCCTTTAATGATTTGAAAGTTAAACATTCTATTTCTGTTCTTTTAGTGGTTACCCTTGAAATTTCACTATACTCATCATTATACTTAATTATACTATACTATACTTAACATTAAATTATGCTATACTTAATATTATACTATACTATATTATACCATACTTAACATTAAAAAAATCTAAAATTAATCAGCATCTCTACATTTCTACCCCCAAATGCAAGATCTAATGCTCTAATCTAATTATTTCTCACTTGGTTTATATGTCATTGTCTAGTGTCATTACATGTCGATACAGATCTATGAAAGTGAAACGCAAAATCTATTTTATACCATTATTTTTAGCCCCAGAAATCACATACTACTAGTTTTCATATAGTGGTTTTATTTTGACTTACATAAAATGTGCCAGTTTCTTTGCTTACTATTCTTTTTTGCATCTCAAACTTCTTCCTAAACTACACACTTTAGAAGTTTCTTTAGTGAGAGTAAGCTTTCTCAGGTTTTGTTTTTCTGAAAATGTGTGCATTTTGCCCTCATGCGTGTGAGTTGATTTTTGCTGGGTACAGAATTCTACCTCGACAGTCTCAGCATATTCCACTGTCTTCTCTGTTTCATTACTACTGTTGAGAAATTTTTTTATCATTTTTAAAACTAGATGTTCCATCATTTCTCTTGCCTCTTTTAAGGTCTCCTCTGTTTCTTGTAGTCTGCAGTTTCACTGTGTTTAACTATGGATTTCTTTTTACTTGTCTACTTGGTATAAGTTATTCTCTATATTTATAATTTTATCTTTCCTTACTTCTAGAAAATTCTCAGTTGCTATCTCTTAAAGTAAATCTTTTCTCCTCATTGTTTCCTTTTGGAACTCAGATTAAATGTATGTCAGACCTTCTTATTGAATCTTCCATGTTTTCTATCACCTTGTTTTTCTGGTCTACATTTTGGGTAATTCTCAATATTTCTGTTTTTACTAATTCTCTGTTTTCAAGGTACTGGGTTTTTGTTTTTGTTTTTGTTTTTTTTTGCAGGGGGAGGCAGTTAGGTTTATTCTTAGAGGAGGTACTGGGGATTTGAACCCAGGACCTTGTGCACGCTAGGCATGCGCTCTACAATGCACTGTTTAACCCAGCCATTGCGTTTTTAATTTCAACAACTGTATATTTCAATTTCAGAAGTACTGTCTGGTTCTTTTGAAAAATCTGTTTAGTCGTTTTTAAAATAAATTCTTGGTCTTCCCTTATTTTTAATACACCTTTTATTTCTTTTAACATTTCATTCATAGTTCTTTTGTATTCTGTGTGTGGCAGTTTCATTACCTGGAATTTGGGGATCTGAAATCTGGTTTTGTTGACTCTTGCCCTATATGGCTTATTTTGTTCTATGAACAGTAATTTTTTACTCTGAACCCATGTGTGGGTTGAATTTAGTCTGTGGAGTCCTGGGGGCCTGGATTGAGGGTGTTTTTCTCCAGAGAAGATTTGCGTTTGCCTCTCTTTGATGCCAGAGAGTATTTCCAACCTGGAGTCACTTTAATTCTATTACTACTTTAAAAAATAGTCTACAGTAATGTTCTTCTTCTTCTTTTTTTAATATGAAAGGACTTTGCAAATATCCACAATGCCATTATTACATTTATATGAATGTATAGTTTCTTAATATATATTTTTCTGAACTGCCCTCTGGGTGGCTTCCTCTGCACAATATTTCACTCTACTAATTCTCTTTTTGTCTGTGTACTTCTAACCCATCCATTGAGTTTTTTTCCCTGATTGTCTCAAAAATGTCTTTTAACTTTTGGTTCACTCCAGTTGAGGCCTGAGGATGCTCCACAGTGGGGAACAGTGTAGATTCAAACCCCAGATTCATTTGAGAACAGGCCAGTGTCCACAGTCCGCAAGGATCCTCTTGGAGGAGATTTCTTTTGATGATTGGCAGATTTTCCACCCAACCATCCTTTCTTTGAGGGTTCTTCACATGTCTCCACTTACCTGCCTAATTCTGGGAGACATAGTTCAGAGTGTTTCCAGGAAGAAGAGAAGCATGGATATGAGTGAGCCCTGGGGTTTTCTGGCACCCCAGTTTGCGTGGGCCCAAGACTAGTCTCCATTCTACAAAAATTTGGGTTTCCAGCATGGGCTTTTGTCCTCAAAGCAATACCAACGTTTTGTTTGCCTACCTCCGTGGTTTCGATTTAATCTTCATTTTTTTTTCTGCCCTTATAGATTTCCTATTCTCTTTGTTTTGAGCTCAGCTATACATTAATATGTATCAAATATCTGGGTATTCTGTGTCAGAAAACAGAGGCCTGGGGACTTTCTAGACAGTGTAATTAAACAGTGTCCAGCACTCAGCAGGCCTCACGGGCCTTGGAAGAAAACAGCAGTTCACAAGAAAAGTGACACTGGACAAGTGGCCATGTCCCCGGCCTCCCTGAATCTCCGTGTTCTCTGTGTTAAACAGCAGCCCTAAGTTCCCCTGGTAATCCAGTTTCTGGCATTTTCCATGACCGTCTGGCAGTGTCTGTGAAGGAGCTGGCCGCCCCAGCCCTGCCATCCTGCGCAAGGCCTGCTCCTCCTCCCAGGCTCAGGCCAGCTTTTCTACCCTCCCTGGGGCTCACTGTCCCGGGAGGTGGTGGCTGGTATGCCACTCTGCTCCCCCGGTGGACCACAGCCCTGTGAGGACACGTGTACCTTGTCTGCCCTGTTTCCTCAAACCCCCAGCGTGGGGCCCGTCACAGAGTCCTTGCTCGGGACTTGCCTTTTCTCACAAGCTTGGTTCTTCTTGGTCCCCGCGTGGTCTGGGCCAGTCTGTCCTGGGTTATGATCCCTACTCCCCACGGTCCCCTCCTCACCCTACTACCTCACTCTTTGTGTCTGGGCCCATTAGTGGCTCTGTGGGTGGGGGCTGTGAAAGGTCACTGAGTGCTGGCAGGTCACAGTGGGGACAGGCAAAGGGGACACAGGGCCCTGCCGTGTGGGCGCCCACAGCCAGGCCATTGTGCTGTCAGTCAGCTACCACAGGGATTATATTTTTATTTTTGAACACGTTAATGCTACAGAGAACAAGAATGTGTGCACTGGTGCCAAAATAGAGGAAAAGGCAAACACAGAGAGGAAAGCTAAGAAGTCGTTTTCAGCCTGTGCCTTTGTATTTTTTCTATTTCCAGGGACCCCCGTGCTTCGTTCACACTGGGAGTCTTTGCCTCAGAACCCAAGCACAGTGGACTCTGTTCTCTGACCTTACACATTCTTCCAGTTGGGTTCTCGCTACTTTAGGATTCATAAAGGCTTTATAAATACTTTTTTTAATTGTGTTATTTAAAGATTTTCCCTTGTTTTGTTTCTTTCTCTCAGAGAAATAGAAGGCGAGCTTGACATTGTGTGGGAGTCCACCACCAAGGAAAACCAAAGGATCCGAGAGCTGCTCCAGGCCACCCTGGAGAGGACGGGCCCAGGGAACACCGTCAGAGCTTTCAAGGACACCTGCCTGGATGGCATCTCTCAGGGGGACATGCTGGATGGCTGCAGCTTCAGCTACTGTGACATGAAGCCACCTCCCACCATCCGCCAGGGTCTGCGGGAGCCCCTGGGCTAGGGCCCCCTCGGCCGGAGAGGCCCGCCTGGCACAGGCCCAGGGCGGGTGGCGGGGGCAGACCCCCCCACCGCTGCGGCGTCTCTCCTCGGGGCAAGGAAGGAATGAGCTGTCTCAGAAATTCAACGCACTTTTTACATTTCGCTTTATTTTTAAAAAGTGCTGCTGAACTGTACTCAGCCAGTGCACATCCTCTGACCTCGTGCCAGGGAGCCGGGCCCTGTGAGACCCGGTGCTCAGGCTGACAGCTGACCTGAGGGCTGGCCTGTCTCCGGGCTCCTAGGTCTGCAGCTGGGAAAGCGCCGGAGGGCACGGCCGGCCGGAGCGCGCGCTCAGCCTGTGTGTCTGATGAGTAAGTTGAATTGGATGAGCCTCGGGTGGAAGCAGTCGCAGTGATATCTGTGCATTAACTCTGGGTGCTATTTCATTGTTTGGTTAAAAAAAAAAAAAACAGGTGCTGATCCTCATGCCCCAGTAAGTTGTGCAGAACCTGTCCTGTCTTCCCTTCCCCCCAAGCCCTTCTCTGTCCTCCTGGGGAAGGTCATTTTTCTGCGACCACGTAAGCTTTCTCCCTCTTTGAGAGCCCTGACTTTGAACATCCAGGTAGGGTCCCTGCCCTACTGCCATCACTGAGAAGGATGCCAGGGGCCGCGCCACCTCCTCAGGTAGACCATCCCTGCCTCTCGGGACCAGTCGCGGGGACGTCCCGGCAGTGATGCCGGCCGTCTAGGGCTGCTTGTCCCCGGCACGCTGGGAGAACGCAGGGACATCCGCTACGAAGTACCCTCAACAGTGGTACGGAGGGTAGATCCCGTCGCGTCCTTCACCGGACCCCTCGTAGCTGAGGCCTGTGTCAGTTTAGGTGTGCACTTAGGTCCAGTGTTGGCCCCTGGTCATGTATAAAAGTTGCTCTTTGGTTACTAGGTATGAAGTTGAGATGGGAAATCATTGTTCTTTTAGATTTCATTAAAATTGTTCAACAGTTAAAGAATTGTAATTTATTTTCATTTTACCAGAAGCAGAAAGACTCACCAGGATTTAATATTATGTATCATCTCCTAGGAGATGACCTAGCGAATAACTTTGATGCTATTTCAGGGGAATTTGTGCCAGCTGTCTAATAATCCGTAGACAGGCTGAAAGGTGGCAGCAGCCCCGTGAGTCTCTTGCCTCCAGACCGATGCTCAGGAGCCGGCTTCCCCATGGGACACTGCTGTCGTCACATCACCTAGAGAACCACTTCTGTCGTCCCTTCCCTCTGCCTTCAGAGAGAACATTTCTTTCCCTTGAGAAATGAATGTTTGTACATTTCTGCTTTGTCACACGTTACAGATACACTTTGCAAGTTCAGTGACCTCAGGACCTCATCATGGCCCAGCAGGGGTGGGATTGTGCAGTGCTGGGCGCTGCAGGAAATGGGCAGACAAGCTCAGAGTCCAGGATGCAGAGGAGGGCAAAGCAGGCGAGACGGCAAAAAATGATGCAGTGCGAGGCACCGAGCCCAGCCTCGAGCTGGACCACCCCGGCCTTGCAGTGTGGACAGGGTCTCAGGAGGTGGAGGAGGCAGAGGGGGCTGTGTGAACAGCAGGAGGGGCTCTGGGGCCGGAGGTTGGGGTGGGCTATGAGGCCTGACTGCCGGGAGGGGGCCCCTGTTCCTCTGCGTCCTGTAGGTTTCCAGTCTGAGCGGGAACTGGTGTCATTCTCTCTTGGTCCTGGTGAGTCTTTATACAGTGCTAGAATGGTCCTGGTCAGGTTGAAAGTAACCCAAGGCAGACAGTTAGATAACGTGACCCAGGAAGTCAAGAGAGCCCTGCTGCCCTTGGCACTATTTAAAAGCAGCCGTGGGGATGTCAGAACTGGGTGGAGAGGGGGCCCGAGTGTGGGCGTGGCTGTGGGTTTGGCATTGGCCGCGGGCGAGAGGCTGTCCTGTCTTCCAGTCGTCCCTTGCAGAGGGGTGGTGGGATCAGAAGAGACCCCTTTGCCCCTCAACCTCTGAGAAGAATGGGAGAGACCCCACCCTTTCCAACAGTTGAAATCTTTGTAGACCAGTGATCATCTAACGCTAAGGAGAGGGAGGAAATTCTGGATTTTATTAGTTTCAATGTAAGTATATTCAGCAGCTATGCTGTGAATGCTTATGTATGTGCTATTTGTTGAGAACAATGGCAGTGACGAAGGCAAATGTAACTTCAGAGCCACGAGCTTCCAGAGCGGGCAGATCTCAGTGCAGTCACGGGAAAGCTGACGTGTGTGCTGGAGCACGTGGGTATGCGAACCTGCCTTTCCAGCTATAAATTTTATGAAATGTAGATAGAGGTCAGATATTTCTGATGAAAATCTAGCACCCACATTCAGATGTGCTATAACCATAAATGTATGCCAGATTTTGAAGTCTTACTATGAAGAAATAGATGTATGCAATATCTCACTAATGCTTTTTATATTGGTTTTATATGATACCATTTTTATATATTGGGTTAAATAAAATGTTGTTAAAATTGATTTCACCGGGGGTTTGTATTACTTTTTTTAAAATGTGGGCACTGGAAAACTTTAAATCCCACACATGGCTCCCATTATATTTCCCTTGGACAGTGCTGCCTATACCTAAATGTGAAAAGCAAAACTAAGCTGCTAGAAAATACTTCATGACTTTGCGAGGGAGGGAGAAGGGAGAGGGGGAGGGAGAAGGGAAGAGCAGGGTGAGCCTCAGCCAGCTCCCCAGGCCTTGCGGGCCCCCAGCCCTGCTCCCGCCAGCCAGGGCTTGTGAACTGTCCACTCATCTCCTTCCGATTGGGTGACTGTCACCTCCTTGACTTGAGCAGCTGGGCTCAGTGTGTGGCCTTTACCTCCATTTGAAAGGACTTTAGACACTCCCAGATACTCCAGACCGGAAGTCTGGGTCACTCTGGGCAACTTCTCTGCCTCTACAAGGCTTTCCCATCGGCAGTGAAGACTCCTCAGGGTGAGACACTTCTCCTGGACCCCACATTCTCTCCTCTCCGTGGAGAGCCCAGCCCCTGACGCGCTGCCCGCCTCCAGACTGGCTGCCACCCCATCTACTATAGCGCCCGGTCTGGTGCTGCACACCCTGGCAGCTCCCAGCTCGGCAGAGCCACTGTCCCTGTGGGTTCAGGGATGCTGTGCTCTCCTGGCTCTATCCATTCCTTAAATACTGGGTCCTCAGACCCTGTCTCTTCTCACCCCGTGCTCCCCTTGGATGTGCCCAAAATTCACACATCCAGGTTCCCTCCACAGCCCTGGTGTGCTTCAGTCCTGGGACCACTGGCCCTGATTAAATAAGAAATTTAATCAAAGATAGAAGCTGTTATGTAGACACTGAGAAAGTGTATAAGCAGCTCATGATAGAATGGACCATTCACAAAGCATTTGACAGATCTGAGCAGGGTCACCCCGTGAGAAGGGTCACCCCGTGAGGTTGCGTGATTCGTGTACTGCACAAAGGCACCCAGCCAACCGGTGAGTGGGGCTGGAATCTCGCCCAGACTCCTCTCACCAAACGTGTCCTGGAGGAAGAGGCCTCTTGTTCATACCTCCTCACACCATGAGTCCATGGCACTATGTCCCCTCAGAGAAGGCTCCCTTTATTGTTTTATTTTTATTTTTCAGGAGGGTGGTAATTAGGTTTATTTATTTAATATAGGTACTGGGGGTTGAACCCAGAACCTTGCGCATGCTAAATAACCATGCACTCTACCACTGAGCTATACCTTCCGCCTCAGAGAAGTCTCCTTTTAAAAGCTGCACAGAAATGGACCTCTTGAGACCCTGTGTAATTCCTAATCCTGAGCTGTCATATTTATTATTATTATTATTATTTACAAAATTTGCCACCCCAAAACATCTCTTTGGCATGAGGATTATTTCAGGCTGATTATTTATAAGAAACCGAGACTCCACGGGGGGGTCTTTCTTTTTACCTTCCCCTTAGCTGCTTAAAGACTTTAGATCAAGGGCCTGTTCCAGGCACAGAGCTCTCACCAGAGATAGCTGCAAGGAGTGTGGGCCAGGTGGTGGGGGAAGCTCAGCAGGGCCTCAAGATCAGAGTCCACTGTGGCTCCCATTGTCCCAGTAAGGCACAGAAAATATTTATTTACCAAACATTTGCTTTTCCATCCCCCTGTGAATTGCCTTCCTCCCCCTTGAAGTCCTAAACCACTGCCCCCAACATCCTCTCCTGTCTTTAGCTGAAGATGTGATTGAAGGCGAGGGCTTTGAACATTTTGGTGAGTTGCTCATTTTTTCCTGGGTCTCTCCAGGTATATATGTTATTAAAATTTTGTGTGATTTTCTCCTGTTAACCTGTCTCATATCAACCTCATTTCCAGACCAGCCAGAAGAACCTAGAGGGGCAGAGGGAGATTTCTCCCTTCCTGACAGTTGGCGTAGTCGGCAGGATTCAGCGTTCCTGTCTGGACAGTAACTCAGCCTGAAACTACTGTAGCTAAGATCCTGGACACCTGACAAAAGCCAGCAGGGGAGAATTCTTACCGTGTCAGTCAGTCTCCCGGATCTCTGCCCCCAGGATCCGCTGGAAAAGAGAGTGTTAAGAGTCTCTTATCTCTCTTCTGGAATTAGATTCGCAGGAGAAAACATTCGTGGACCTAGTTCCTTGGACTCAGCAACTCTTGGGAAATTTGGAAGGGTATTCATGGTGTGTTGACCCTTTTCCTCCCAGCGATGTTCCCTGTTTTTCTTTGTGTTCTGCCTTTTGTGTCCTTCGTCATAAGCAGGAAAACTATTGGTCTGATCAGGTTCTCCTTTTGTCTTGCTCTGTGTCTTGAGAGCTTGGCTTGTTGACCAGTGAGAAAACGCTCCCTGGTCTCTGCCATCCGGGAGGTGCGCATAATGGTGCGCTTTTGCCAAGACTCTGAGCGGTCTCTTCCCTTGGCTGTGCTCTCAGGGGAGTTTGTCAGAAGGGGTCCCAGTCCATAAGAGGCCTTTGTCATCTCCAGCTTCCTTGCTTTGTTAGTGCTGGCAGCACACCACCCTTACCACCTGTGCAACAAAGGTCTTTGCTTTCTTAGACTATTTTCGGGTATAAGTTTTCTGGATCTTGTGAGGGCTGAATCCTTTGCATTCTCTTGTGGGGCACCTCTTCACCCATGGTCAAGTCATAACAAGGCTTCCTGGTTTGAGCCACTGTTAAGATCCTACTCATTAGTGGCCACACAATGGATCCTTTGAATTGGAAAAACTTAGAAATTGGTAAATTTTTTAAAGACCTCATCATAAACAGCTGTTTTATTGGTACCTATGGAAAGACCAAATTAAAAGTTGGAAACAAAGAAATATAATGGTTTACCTTAAGAACTCCCTGAATGAGAAAAAAAAATCGGGAAGCCCTGTTCGGGGTTTGGTCTGGGCGAACCGTTATGGGTCTTACAAGACGCTAATTAAAATTTAGGTTAATTAAGAGAATGGGAAGAAGCCAAGGAAAAAGTCAAAGAGACTCATCCCAGCAAGGTGGAAATTTTTTTAAGAGTTGTTAAGAAATAAGGTAAATAAAGCAAATATTAAAAGTGGTAGAATAAAGAGGAATCAGAAAGGGAAGAGTTGCAGGACTTGTGCTAGCAGGATGAAAATCTTTAGATGGTTATTTAAAAATGGGATAAATAAAACAGACATTGATGGGATTAAAACAAAGGTTTTATTTTATTATCTATTTGTTTATTTATTTGTTTGTTTAAAGTATAGTCAATTACAATGTGTCCATTTCTGGTGTACAGCACAATGTCCCAGTCATGCATATACATACATGGATTCATTTTCATATCTTTTTCATCAAAGGTTGTTACAAGATATTGAACATAGTTCCCTGTGCTATAGAGAAGAAACTTTTTTAAATCTATTTTTATATATAGTGGCTAACATTTGTAAATCTTCATCTCCCAAATTTATCCCTTCCCACCCCCTCTCCCCAGTAACTCTTAAGATTGTTTACTATATGTGTGAGTCTGTTTCTTTTTTGTAGATGAGTTTATTAGTGTCCTTTTTTTTTGGATTCTGCATATGAGTGTATCATATGGTATTTTTCTTTCTCTTTCTGGCTTACTTCACTTAGAATAACGATTTCTAGGTCCATCCATGTTGCTGGAAATGGCATTATTTTATTATGTTTTATGGCTGAGTAGTATTCCATTGTATAAATACACCACAACTTCTTTATCCAGCCATCTGCTGATGGACATTTAGGTTGCTTCTACATCTTGGCTATTGTATATAGTGCTGCTATGAACATCGGGGTGCATGTATCTTTCCAAATTAGAGTTCCCTCCAGATATATACCCAGAAGTGGGATTGCTGGATATATGATAAGTCTATTTTTAGTTTTTTGAGAAATCTCCATACTGTTTTCCATGATGGCTGCACCAAACTACATTCCCACCAACAGTGTAGGAGGGGTCCCTTTTCTCCACACCCTCTCCAGCATTTATTGTTCATGGACTTTTGAATAATGGCCATTCTGACTGGTGTGAGGTGATACCTCATTGTAGTTTTGATTTGAATTTCTCTGATAATTAGTGGTATTGAGCATTTTTTCATGTGCCTGTTGGCCATTTGTCTTCATTGGAGAATTACTTGTTTAGGTCCTCTGTCCATTTTTGGATTGGGTTGTTTGGTTTTTTTGTTATTAAGTTGTACAAGCTGTTTTATATATTCTGGAAATTAAGCCTCTGTCAGTCACATCATTTGCAAATATTTTCTCCCATTCTGTAGATTGTCGTTTTGCTTTGCTTATAGTTTCCTTTCCTGTGCAAAAGCTTACAAGTTTAATTAGGTCCCATTTGTAAATAAACAATAA